TCTGCTTCTCCCTTTGACCCTCCTCCCTCTCATGCTCTCTGTCTCTCATTCTCTCTCAAATAAATAAATAAATAATCTTAAAAAAAAAAAAAAAAGGCAGCAGGGGGGCTCCCGAGTAGTGCAGGACCCTGAGATCGAGCCCCACATGGGGCCCTGCACTCAGCAGGGAGGCTGCTGGAGATTCTCTCTCCCTTTCCATCTCCCTCTACCCCCTCTCCCCAACTCTCTCTCATAAATAAATAAACCCTTAAAAAAATAAAATAAAAATATAAAGCAGGGAAGGTAAAACATGATTATTTTTAAGCACCTCTACATGTGTGGCAAATAAGAGGCTCAAAGTATAGTTTTTCAGGGCCTTTGGGCATTTCCAGAATTGTACTGTGGACTTACTAGCATCTACAAAATAAACATTCAATTGAATTATTTTAATATGTGTCCTCAATGATTCATGTTATGATTGGACAGAACAATATTCCAAATGCTGCTTTAGAGGTCTTCAAATTTCCTCCAAAGAGACATTAAAATACAAGCCAACTGTATGGTCATTATCTTCCATCTACACTCCCATCTCTCAAATACATCACATTATTTTCTTAAACTATCATGGATATATAACAGGTTCTAATAAAATCTAAGTCATCAATTTCACTGCATAACTAACTGCATAAATAGTTTACTATAACTTTAACTGCATGAATATTGACTAGGCAGGAAACAGAAAGATTCCCCTGGAAGTTATAATTGTTTACAAAAATGGGCCTCAGTGTTGTCTGTCAATACAACTCAACTTCAGCTTGAACTTTCGGGTGAACAAATCTGGAGTGGCAGACCAGCGTAAGATCAGGTGACTTTGACTTCCAAAGGATTCTGCAGAAACGAGAGCCTTTTTCCCTAGGAAAAGTGAAGAACTGCCAGGTTATGGCGGTCCCATTCAAAGGCTCTGCACCAAAAACATTCTCAGAAGCCGTGCATCTACTGACATCAAGACTCATTCAATTCTACATGTAGGTGAGATGTGCAGTGAGAAAACCAACACCCAGATCCTCTTGGGATGAGCCAAGGACCAGCCATATATCTGCAGAATTTATCCCGCCTTTTCTGCAGTTCCTAACTTTACGCTAAATTTAGCCCTTGCGATAATGTCACGCAGATAATAAAACTTTTGTATTTGTTATTAAAGCTACCCTTAAAAAAAACCAAATCAACCCCTGACTCTTAAAAGGCAAAAATGATGGGCGCCTGGGTGGCTCAGTTGGTTAAGCGACTGCCTTCGGCTCAGGTCATGATCCTGGAGTCCCGGGATCGAGTCCCGCATCGGGCT